CCGATGGGATTCCATGGGATTGGGGTCAATGGGAGCCAAAATTGGGGAGGTTGGGTGAAGAGATCCCAAATTTGGGGGGCAATGGGGGGATTCAATGAGTTGGGGGTCAACGGGAGCCAATATGGGGACACAGAGACCCCAAATTTGGGGACACCGATGGGATTCCATGGGATTGGGGTCAATGGGAGCCAAAATTGGGGACGCAGAGACCCCAAACTTTCCCCCCCATTTCCCCTTCTCTTCCCCCACCCAAAAACACCCTAAAAATTCTTTTTTCCCCCCAAACCTCCATTTTTTCCCTATTTTTTCCCTTCTCTCCCCAAAACCTTTTTTCCAACATGTCCCCCCCATTTTTCCTTTCCCTCCCCCCACCCCCCCCAACCTTTTCCCCCCCTGTCCCCTTCGCCTCCCCCCCCCCCAAACCCCCCTAAAAACCCTTTTTTTGTGGGGATGAAACCCATCACCATCATCATCAAACTTCATCCATGCGATGTCGTCTCCCACGCAGTGGATTTTCCATCCCGGCAGCCTGGGGGTCATCATGGCCAGGTTGGTTTTCCCACAGGCGCTGGGAAACGCTGCCGCCATGTAACGTTTCTCACCGGTGGGGGAGGTCACAGCCAGGATCTGAGGGGAGATGGGGGGGTTTTGGGGGGCTGTGGGGGGGTGGGGGGGCAGGGAGGTGAAAAGAGGGGAGAAACAGAGAGAGGAGGGAACCATAGAGAGAAGAGATCTGTAAAAAAAACCATAGAGAGGAAAGAATCATAGAGAGGAAGGATCTGTTTAAAAAAAAACCATAGAGAAGAAAGAATCATAGAGAGGAGAGAATCATAGAAACGACCATAGAGAGAAGAGAACCACAGAGAGAAAAGATGCATAAAAAAACCATAGAGAAAAGAGAATCACAGAAAGGAAAGAAACTTAAGAACAACCATAGAGAAGAGAAAACCAGAGACAAAGAAGTACCATAAAATAAACCATAGAGAGAAACACACAGAGGAAAGAACCATAGAGAAAAGAGAATCATAGAGAGAACCATAGAGAGGAGAGAACCATAGAGAAGAATCACAAGAGACAACCATACAGAGAACCATAGAGAGAACAGAACCATAGAGAGGAAAGAACCATAGAGAGGAGAGAATCAGAGACACCCCATAGAGCCCCATAGAGTCCCACAACCACCCCATAGAGCCCCATAACCACTCCATAGAGCCCCACAGAGCCCCATAGAGCCCCATAACCACCCCACAGAGCCCCATAGAATCCCATGACCACCCCACAGAGCCCCATAGAGCCCCATAGCCACCCCATACAGCCCCATAACCACCCCATACAACCTCATAGAGCCCCATACAGCCCCACAACCACCCCATAGAGCCTCATAGAGCCCCATAGAGCCCCAAAACCGCCCCATAGAGCCCCAGAACCACCCCATAGAGCCCACAGAGCCCCATAACCACCCCATAGAGTCCCATAGAGCCCCACAACCACCCCATCGAGCCCCATAGAGCCCCATAACCACCCCATAGAGCCCATAGAGCCCCATAACCACCCCATAGAGCACCATAACCACCCCATAGAGCCCCATAAGGACCCCACAGATGCCCCCGTTCCCACCAGCATGTGCTCCGCAAGCCAGCCCTGCTGCTGGGCCATGCGGGAGGCGATGCGCACAGCTGCGACCCCAAACCACCCCATAGAGCCCCACAACCACCCCATAGAGCCTCATAACCACCCCATACAGCCCCATAGAGCCCCATAGCCACCCCCTACAGCCCCAAAATCACCCCATACAACCTCATAGAGCCCCATAGAGCCCCATAACCACCCCATACAGCCCCATAGAGCCCCACAGCCACCCCATAGAGCCCCGTAACCACCCCATAGAGCCCATAGAGCCCCATAACCACCCCATAGAGCCCCATAACCACCCCATAGAGCCCCATAAGGACCCCACAGACGCCCCCGTTCCCACCAGCATGTGCTCCGCCAGCCAGCCCTGCTGCTGGGCCATGCGGGAGGCGATGCGCAGCGCGAAGCACTTCTTGCCCAGCAGCGAATTGCCGCCGTATCCCGAGCCGAAGGAGACGATGCGACGCTCCGACGGCACGTGGGCCACCAGCACGCGGCGGGGGTCGCACGGCCAGCAGCTCACCAAGGGCTCTGAGCCCAACGTGGGGCAGATGTGGGGCATTAGGGGCAGTTATGGGGCACCTGGGGGCTGTTATGGGGCAGCCATGGGGCACTGGGGGTGGTTATGGGGCATTAGGGGCAGTTATGGGGCACCTGGGGGCTGTTATGTGGGTGGTGATGGGGTACTGGGGGTGGTTATGGGGCATTAGGGGCAGTTATGGGGCACCTGGGGGCTGTTATGGGGCAGCTATGGGGTACTGGGGGTGGTTATGGGGCATTAGGAGCAGTCATGGGGCATTAGGGGCTGTTTATGGGGCATTAGGAGCTGCTTATGGGGCACTAGGAGTGATTATGGGGCATTAGAGGCAGTTATGGGGCATGAGGGGCAGATATGGGGCATGAGGGGCTGATATGGGGCACTAGGAGCAGTTATGGGGCACCTGGGGGCTGTTATGGGGCAGTGATGGGGTACTGGGGGTGGTTATGGGGCTGGGTCGCACGGCCAGCAGCTCACCAAGGGCTCTGAGCCCAACATGGGGCAGATATGGGGCATTAGGGGCACTTGTGGGGCACTTTTGGGGCCATCTCTATGATCACTGAGGCCATCTCTATGGTCCTCCAAGGATACTCTTGGTGCCATCTCTATGATCACTGAGGCCATCTCTATGGTCCTCCAAGGATACTCTTGGTGCCATCTCTATGATCACTGAGACCATCTCTATGGCCCTCCAGTGACACTTTTGGGACCATCTCTATGGTCTTTGGGAACTCCTTTGAGGCCATCTCTATGGTCCACCAAGAACACTTTGGTGTTATCTCTATGATCACTGAGGCCATCTCTATGGTCCTCCAGGGACACTTTTGGGGCCATCTCTATGATCACTGAGGCCATCTCTACGGTCCTCCAGGAACACTTTTGGGGCCATCTCTATGATCACTGAGGCCATCTCTATGGTCCTCCAGGGACACTTTTGGGGCCATTTCTATGGCCACTGAGGCCATCTCTATGGTTATGCAGGAACACTTTTGGGGCCATTTCTCGGGTCCACTTTGGGGTCCCATCCCCTCCCCAGCCCCACATCTCACCGGTGAGGGGCAGAGGCCGCCCCACGGAATGAAGGCAGCGGACGAAGTCGTCGTCGAGGCGCTGCAGGACGGCGGGGCCCACGCGGGTCATGATGCGCATGGACAGAACCACGTAGGGGGAGTCGGTCAGCTGGACCCCCAGTTTGGCCAGGGGGGACGTGGGGGGACCCATGCTGAAGGGGATGACGTAAAGGGGGCGGCCTGGAAGGGGGAGAGAAGGGGTGGGGGGGGAGAAGGGAAGAAGTGGGGGGGGGGG